TATAGCCACATGACATTGAAACACGGGTTCCCGTACGATTACCGAAGATAAGCAACGTCGAACCCGGTCAGTACCTAGATGGGTGACCGATTAGGAATACCAACTGCTGTAAATTGGATGAGGGTGGCATGGATTATGGCCATATAACATTGAAACACAAGTTCCCGTACGATTTTCGAAGATAAGCAACGTCGAACCCGGTCAGTACCTAGATGGGTGACCGATTAGGAATACCAACTGCTGTAAATTGGATGAGGGTGGCATGGATTATGGCCATATAACATTGAAACACAAGTTCCCGCACGATTTTCGAAGATAAGCAACGTCGAACCCGGTCAGTACCTAGATGGGTGACCGATTAGGAATACCAACTGCTGTAAATTGGATGAGGGGTGGCATGGATTATGGCCATATAACATTGAAACACAAGTTCCCGTACGATTTTCGAAGATAAGCAACGTCGAACCCGGTCAGTACCTAGATGGGTGACCGATTAGGAATACCAACTGCTGTAAACTTGGATGTGAGGGTGGCATGGATTATGGCCATATAACATTGAAACACAAGTTCCCGTACGATTTTTCGAAGATAAGCAACGTCGAACCCGGTCAGTACCCTAGATGGGTGACCGATTAGGAATACCAACTGCTGTAAACTTGGATGTGAGGGTGGCATGGATTATGGCCATATAACATTTTTCTGAAACACAAGTTCCGTACGATTTTCGAAGATAAGCAACGTCGAACCCGGTCAGTACCTAGATGGGTGACCGATTAGGAATACCAACTGCTGTAAATTGGATGAGAGGGTGGCATGGATTATGGCCATATAACATTGAAACACAAGTTCCCGTACGATTTTCGAAGATAAGCAACGTCGAACCCGGTCAGTACCTAGATGGGTGACCGATTAGGAATACCAACTGCTGTAAATTGGATGAGAGGGTGGCATGGATTATGGCCATATATAACATTGAAACACAAGTTCCGTACGATTTTCGAAGATAAGCAACGTCGAACCCGGTCAGGTACCTAGATGGGTGACCGATTAGGAATACCAACTGCTGTAAATTGGATGAGGTGGCATGGATTATGGCCATATAACATTGAAACACAAGTTCCCGTACGATTTTCGAAGATAAGCAACGTCGAACCCGGTCAGTACCTAGATGGGTGACCGATTAGGAATACCAACTGCTGTAAATTGGATGAGGGTGGCATGGATTATGGCCATATAACATTGAAACACAAGTTCCCGTACGATTTTCGAAGATAAGCAACGTCGAACCCGGTCAGTACCTAGATGGGTGACCGATTAGGAATACCAACTGCTGTAAATTGGATGAGGGGTGGCATGGATTATGGCCATATAACATTGAAACACAAGTTCCCGTACGATTTTCGAAGATAAGCAACGTCGAACCCGGTCAGTACCTAGATGGGGTGACCGATTAGGAATACCAACTGCTGTAAATTGGATGAGGGTGGCATGGATTATGGCCATATAACATTGAAACACAAGTTCCCGTACGATTTTTCGAAGATAAGCAACGTCGAACCCGGTCAGTACCTAGATGGGTGACCGATTAGAATACCAACTGCTGTAAATTGGATGAGGTGGCATGGATTATGGCCATATAACATTTGAAACACAAGTTCCCGTACGATTTTCGAAGATAAGCAACGTCGAACCCGGTCAGTACCTAGATGGGTGACCGATTAGGAATACCAACTGCTGTAAATTGGATGAGGGTGGCATGGATTATGGCCATATAACATTGAAACACAAGTTCCCGTACGATTTTCGAAGATAAGCAACGTCGAACCCGGTCAGTACCTAGATGGGTGACCGATTAGAATACCAATTGCTGTAAATTGGATGAGGGTGGCATGGATTATGGCCATATAACATTGAAACACAAGTTCCCGTACGATTTTCGAAGATAAGCAACGTCGAACCCGGTCAGTACCTAGATGGGTGACCGATTAGGAATACCAACTGCTGTAAATTGATGAGGGTGGCATGGATTATGGCCATATAACATTGAAACACAAGTTCCCGTACGATTTTCGAAGATAAGCAACGTCGAACCCGGTCAGTACCTAGATGGGTGACCGATTAGGAATACCAACTGCTGTAAATTGGATGAGGGTGGCATGGATTATGGCCATATAACATTGAAACACAAGTTCCCGTACGATTTTCAAAGATAAGCAACGTCGAACCCGGTCAGTACCTAGATGGGTGACCGATTAGGAATACCAACTGCTGTAAACTTGGATGTGAGGGTGGCATGGATTATGGCCATATAACATTGAAACACAAGTTCCCGTACGATTTTCGAAGATAAGCAACGTCGAACCCGGTCAGTACCTAGATGGGTGACCGATTAGGAATACCAACTGCAGTAAACTTGGATGTGAGGGTGGCATGGATTATGGCCATATAACATTGAAACACAAGTTCCCGTACGATTTTCGAAGATAAGCAACGTCGAACCCGGTCAGTACCTAGATGGGTGACCGATTAGGAATACCAACTGCTGTAAATTGGATGAGGGTGGCATGGATTATGGCCATATAACATTGAAACACAAGTTCCCGTACGATTTTCGAAGATAAGCAACGTCGAACCCGGTCAGTACCTAGATGGGTGACCGATTAGGAATACCAACTGCTGTAAATTGGATGAGGGTGGCATGGATTATGGCCATATAACATTGAAACACAAGTTCCCGTACGATTTTCGAAGATAAGCAACGTCGAACCCGGTCAGTACCTAGATGGGTGACCGATTAGGAATACCAACTGCAGTAAACTTGGATGTGAGGGTGGCATGGATTATGGCCATATAACATTGAAACACAAGTTCCCGTACGATTTTCGAAGATAAGCAACGTCGAACCCGGTCAGTACCTAGATGGGTGACCGATTAGGAATACCAACTGCTGTAAATTGGATGAGGGTGGCATGGATTATGGCCATATAACATTGAAACACAAGTTCCCGTACGATTTTCGAAGATAAGCAACGTCGAACCCGGTCAGTACCTGAATGGGTGACCGATTAGGAATACCAACTGCTGTAAATTGGATGAGGGTGGCATGGATTATGGCCATATAACATTGAAACACAAGTTCCCGTACGATTTTCGAAGATAAGCAACGTCGAACCCGGTCAGTACCTAGATGGGTGACCGATTAGGAATACCAACTGCAGTAAACTTGGATGAGAGGGTGGCATGGATTATGGCCATATAACATTGAAACACAAGTTCCCGTACGATTTTCGAAGATAAGCAACGTCGAACCCGGTCAGTACCTAGATGGGTGACCGATTAGGAATACCAACTGCTAAAACTTGGATGTGGGTGGCATGGATTATGGCCATATAACATTGAAACACAAGTTCCCGTACGATTTTCGAAGATAAGCAACGTCGAACCCGGTCAGTACCTAGATGGGTGACCGATTAGGAATACCAACTGCAGTAAACTTGGATGTGAGGGTGGCATGGATTATGGCCATATAACATTGAAACACAAGTTCCCGTACGATTTTTTCGAAGATAAGCAACGTCGAACCCGGTCAGTACCTAGATGGGTGACCGATTAGGAATACCAACTGCTGTAAATTGGATGAGGGTGGCATGGATTATGGCCATATAACATTGAAACACAAGTTCCCGTACGATTTTCGAAGATAAGCAACGTCGAACCCGGTCAGTACCTAGATGGGTGACCGATTAGGAATACCAACTGCTGTAAATTGGATGAGGGTGGCATGGATTATGGCCATATAACATTGAAACACAAGTTCCCGTACGATTTTCGAAGATAAGCAACGTCGAACCCGGTCAGTACCTAGATGGGTGACCGATTAGGAATACCAACTGCTGTAAATTGGATGAGGGTGGCATGGATTATGGCCATATAACATTGAAACACAAGTTCCCGTACGATTTTCGAAGATAAGCAACGTCGAACCCGGTCAGTACCTAGATGGGTGACCGATTAGGAATACCAACTGCTGTAAATTGGATGAGGGTGGCATGGATTATGGCCATATAACATTGAAACACAAGTTCCGTACGATTTTCGAAGATAAGCAACGTCGAACCCGGTCAGTACCTAGATGGGTGACCGATTAGGAATACCAACTGCTGTAAATTGGATGAGGGTGGCATGGATTATGGCCATATAACATTGAAACACAAGTTCCCAATACGATTTTCGAAGATAAGCAACGTCGAACCCGGTCAGTACCTAGATGGGTGACCGATTAGGAATACCAACTGCTGTAAATTGGATGAGGGTGGCATGGATTATGGCCATATAACATTGAAACACAAGTTCCCGTACGATTTTCGAAGATAAGCAACGTCGAACCCGGTCAGTACCTAGATGGGTGACCGATTAGGAATACCAACTGCTGTAAACTTGGATGTGGGGTGGCATGGATTATGGCCATATAACATTGAAACACAAGTTCCCGTACGATTTTCGAAGATAAGCAACGTCGAACCCGGTCAGTACCTAGATGGGTGACCGATTAGGAATACCAACTGCAGTAAACTTGGATGTGAGGGTGGCATGGATTATGGCCATATAACATTGAAACACAAGTTCCCGTACGATTTTCGAAGATAAGCAACGTCGAACCCGGTCAGTACCTAGATGGGTGACCGATTAGGAATACCAACTGCTGTAAATTGGATGAGGGTGGCATGGATTATGGCCATATAACATTGAAACACAAGTTCCCGTACGATTTTCGAAGATAAGCAACGTCGAACCCGGTCAGTACCTAGATGGGTGACCGATTAGGAATACCAACTGCTGTAAATTGGATGAGGGTGGCATGGATTATGGCCATATAACATTGAAACACAAGTTCCGTACGATTTTCGAAGATAAGCAACGTCGAACCCGGTCAGTACCTAGATGGGTGACCGATTAGGAATACCAACTGCAGTAAACTTGGATGTGAGGGTGGCATGGATTATGGCCATATAACATTGAAAACACAAGTTCCCGTACGATTTTCGAAGATAAGCAACGTCGAACCCGGTCAGTACCTAGATGGGTGACCGATTAGGAATACCAACTGCTGTAAATTGGATGAGGGTGGCATGGATTATGGCCATATAACATTGAAACACAAGTTCCCGTACGATTTTCGAAGATAAGCAACGTCGAACCCGGTCAGTACCTAGATGGGTGACCGATTAGGAATACCAACTGCTGTAAATTGGATGAGGGTGGCATGGATTATGGCCATATAACATTGAAACACAAGTTCCCGTACGATTACCGAAGATAAGCAACGTCGAACCCGGTCAGTACCTAGATGGGTGACCGATTAGGAATACCAACTGCAGTAAACTTGGATGAGAGGGTGGCATGGATTATGGCCATATAACATTGAAACACAAGTTCCCGTACGATTTTCGAAGATAAGCAACGTCGAACCCGGTCAGTACCTAGATGGGTGACAATGCCAGGTGCTGTGTGTTTAGAGGTGCGAGTGGTGTAATGAATAACGTTTCGAAATCAGAGTGCGACTATCAGTTCTAGTCGGATTCTTTATATTCACTTACCCTTGCGAAAAGTAGAAATCTGCCTTTTCCCCCATCTATGTATTAGTAGAACTTGGATCAATAAATCATTATTTTAAAAAAAAATATTCTTATGAACTAAAAATATTTTCTGGCTTTAAATAAACCCCAAAAGTTTGATAAGCCCTTAAAAGACAATCACTTAAGCTAGATATTGACAATTTCCCTCAGATTTCCTAGTCTACCTTTTAAAATTCTATTTTATCTTATTTATTTTTGTAAGTCTTTTCTGATTCGCTCAGATTCATTTAGTAAAGATGATGTCACTCAGAATTTATCTGTACTATACATCGCTAAAAATGATAGAAAAACTGTTCGGTTCCTTATACCGCCCCAGAATATACATGACATCTGCTGTCTTGCTCTATCTTTACAAATATCAGATCAGACGGAAAATATATGATCCATTGCTAAAAATGATAGAAAAATGGCCGCCTTCTTGTAACTTTCCAGAATGAGAATGGCACTTCCCGACTTGCTTTATCATTACAAGTTTGAGATCAGATCAAAAATATATGATCCATCGCTAAAAAAATGATAGCAATATGGTCGTTTCCTTGTAACTTTCCATAATATACCTGACACCACCTGCCTTGCTTTATCTTTACAGATATTAAATCAGACCGAATATGGTGTATTGCAGCTACATCTGGGTTGTAATTGCCAAATCCTCATTTTCCAGTCTTGATAAATTTAATTTGTAATTTTCCACTTGACAACACCTTACCCACAAATGCAATGACGTCGGCCTGTCGCTACTATATCGCTATTTCCATGGCAAATTTTCAGATCAGTTCCAGTCTTTAGTTTCACTTGTTCAGTCATTTACAGCCAACATGTCATATAGACTTCGTTGAATCATCTTCATAATCTTTGTATTCGATTTGTAATAAAGTAATTCATCTTAGAGACTCTCTCCCTTAAGAACCGCTACACTGTGAAATAGGCACTGTGTGGATGATTTCATAAACCTTTTCAAGTCTATGTTCATTCGTTATCTATCTACCATATCCTCCTAATCTCCACTTCCTCTTTTTACATCCATATCACATATGTCCCGTGAGTGCCAAACTCTCTGAGCCCACTATTCTCATACCCTAGATAATTCATTTGTATCCTTCTTATTCTATGTATTAGAGTTCTTTCTTTCTGTTTCCATTTTCTCCAAAATTTTGCCATTGCTCACATGGTAGTCTGTAGTATTCTCAACATCCTTCTGTAGAATTACATTTCCCTTGCCTCAAGTTTTTTTTTTTCATCTGTGAGATGATTGTCCAGTATTTACTGCCATATAGAAGGACCAAACGTTATCTTATTAAACATCGTCTTATTTTAGAAACATTTCCGCCAGATTTGAAATAACTCGTGTCTTAAGATAAGGGCTTGGTGCTGGCTTCCTCTTTTAACTTCATTCCCCAACTCCAGCTTTTCAACAATTAAAAACCTAAAACCTTTCCAGGTGTGGAAAATTCACATCCGGTGAGAGAAGGATTTGATGGTGTGATCAGCCAAGCGTATACACTCAAGTGTATACCCCCATACACTCACACTCACTCAAGTGTGACTTTACTTGCCAGCAACCACTTTGCATGGCATTCCTAACGCCACTTGAGAATGTACGACTCACAGTGAAATCCATCTGGTTTTTAAAATATGGCTACTGTCTAAGTCACCCACTTAACACTGTCTACATAATGAGAATAAATAAAGATTATATAGAGAAATTTTGCAAAATGTTTCTTCGTCCCCCACACCGCTAACCGTCTTCTACGCTTCCGTTTGGAATGAAATATAATTAAAGAAAAACACCTTGTGTAGAGGTATATCAATATTGTGGATTTTTTTTTAAGTTTATTCTTATCAAACGAAATTTTGCAGAGTAAAGCTTACTCGAGTTTTCAATCTCAGAGACAGGTTTGTTTCTTCATGGAATTATATATATATTCTGTGTGTATTTAGAGAGAAAATATTCGCTAATGCAAATGTTATTAAAACAAAAACCGTTTTGTGTATATTAATTATATTGATCGACCTTTTCCAAATTACAAGTAATCCTTCTCAGATTAGGAGGGAATTCCGTTAGAAATTGTGCATTTTGGAAGAAAGATGATTCAAGATTTCAACTTTCTTAAGTCATCATCAGCATAGATAAAGGCATATATATATATATATATATATATATATATATATATATATATATATATATATATATATTATTTTAAAAAATATGATTCCATCGAAACACAGAAATTACTATGTTTTGGGACAGGTCATCCGTGTTCAAGTATAATTTCAATATTAAACCTTAACTGTTAGATGACTGTTTCATCTTTAAGTGATGTTTGGAATAACTAAGCAACGAAATGTTTTATTCATTTATAGTTTTGAAATGGAGATGCAATCTGGGGTTAGTTTTTCATTATCAAGCGGTCTCTGCCTTGAAGATAGTAATGTCGCGATGAAATCATGTTTTTTTTTTAAATAATTATAATCTATGCTCTACTTGTGTATCGAGCACTGTTTTTTTTTAAATAAATACAAAAATACTAAAGAACTTAGGATCATCTATCTAACAGTTTTTTCCTGTTATATCAACACAAGCACACACACAAACACCCCCCATATATATATATATATATATATATATATATATATATATATATATATATATATATATACACCTTTTTATATACACTGGCTGCAATGAGTCAATTGATAGTTTCAATTTCGAGCATGCGCGTTGCTTGTTTTTGACTTTGTCAAGTGCACAGCATAGTAAGGTCATTTGGACACTCTCCGTGAAAAAAATAACACCCTGATGCAATTCTCTCCGCCAAAAATGTGGAAATCACATACTGTAATGCTTGACATTTGCGCCGGAAACACCGATACGTACATTTCAGTATCTTTCGGTGTCAATCTGAGGACAGTGCAGAGAATTCGGAAAGAGTTTAATGAGTTTAATAGTGATTTTTCGGACAACTCGCTTTGATCGTTCTGATAAGGAAAGAACACAATGCTTCTGGAACATCTTATATCTATCAAGAGGTCTCTGCACCATGTCAGTTATGGCTGACAGAGAATTTATGAGAACACCCGTGATTGTTATGTGTTGGGCGCGGCTGAGCGAGGGACCAACAAAACTCTTTGTAATACCAAAGATTAGCTAAAGGCAAGAATTTGGGCCGTACTCGCCAACATAAACAATGTGACTGTCCAGAAGAGTTTCAGGAGATTCTGATGTTGCCTGAAGGCCGTGATTGAAGCCAATAGCGATTTTATTGAATAAATTTACTCTTCAGTATTTATAGATATTTTTGTGTAATTTTGTTAAATATATATTTAACAAAGTTACACAAAGTATATTTTAAAATAAGAAGTCTGTGTTATTTTCATTTTTGTGTAATGTAGATGACAATTTATCCACCATACCCTGTCTCCATCTCTCTTCCTCCTGTCTCTCTTTCTCTCTCTCTGTCTTTCTCTCTCTCTCTCTCTCTCTCTCTATATATATATATATATATATATATATATATATATATATATACATAGATATAGATAGATAGATAGATAGATAATATTAGTGGTCAATATACATATATATATATATATATATATATATATATATATATATATATATATATGTAAATATATAGCATAATGAGAAGCCACGTATACTTTCTTAATATGTATATATAGAAACAGTTGCAAATTGATAAAATAATAATGTTTTTTTTAATGAAAGTATTCATTTATTTATATATATATTTGATATTTCAGATTTACCTCAATCTTTCTTCAGAAATAACTGTTTGTTTACAAGTAGCGACCGTCGCAAGATGCGGACTTGACGTGATATGGAACGCCACTGTGTTCGAATATTTTTAACGTAAATCTAACTGTAATAATATTTTAGATGTTGTTTAAAAAAAATAAAAAAATTTTCTTAACTATATCTAAAAAAATTGTTTAAATATTGAAATATTTATAAAGATTTAAAATACTCAAGTCTTTATTAAAGACTTGGGTATTTATTTTAATCAATTTGCTAATTGCTTCAAGGTATGATTAACTCTTTGTAATATAAAATATATGCTGCCTATTTTATTATGTTCATATATATATATATATATATATATATATATATATATATATATATATATGTGTGTGTGTGTGTGTGTGTGTGTGTGTGTGTGTGTGTATTATTGTGCGTGTGTGTATTCTGGGTTTTTTGGCTGCAAATACTATAAAAAAACAACAGATATTTTGTGTCGATTAATTTTAATGATGGAATTACGAATAATCCTCCTCAGACAAAGAGGAAATTACGTCAGAAATTATCTGAATTTCATTTCCGAAAGAAAGTACACGAAATAAGGTGCTGGCTTTAGGTTTTCTGAAGTCATCATCAGTTTATCTAATGAAAATTGTCAAGTTTCTTAGAAATAGTGAGTTCTGTGATGTAGACAAATAATGTTTTGACGTAAGCGAGGTGTG